TTAATCAATAAATCAGGTATTTGATGGTCATGGAGGACCTGAAGCTGCGACTTATATCCAGAAGAATCTAATGAGATTCTTCTTTGAAGATGTTAGCTTCCCCCAGGGATCTGAAGTTGATAATGTTTTTCTACAAGAGGCAGAGAACTCCCTCAGAAAATCATTTCTTTTGGCTGACTTAGCTTTGGCTGATGATTGCAGTGTGAGCAACTCATCAGGGACCACGGCTCTTACTGCCTTCATATTTGGAAGGTATATTAATACAGTACATACTAGGTTCCCCTCTATATTTGTAAAATGCGTTTGTTCTGTTTTTTGGGTTACATTAGGATGGGTTGAACTTTAGGCATCACCCGCATTCCACACTACCTTGACCAATTGAGCTAGCCCCACGTAGCTTGATCTAATTATCTATTTTACTTGATCTTTTGTGCAGTTTTCTATTTCTTGCTCCCTTGGTTTATAAAAAGCTTCTCGAGCATCATAGTTTAAGGTATATGGTCCTTAACCTTCCGCTGATTTCTGTCGCGATTTTTTGTTTGCAGGCTTCTAATGGTGGCCAATGCTGGCGATTGCCGAGCAGTTCTCTGTCGTAAAGGAAAGGCAATTGACATGTCTCAAGATCACAGGCCTATTTATCCTTCAGAGCGGAGGCGGGTTGAGGAATTAGGCGGTCGTGTAGATGATGGTTATCTTAATGGGGTTTTGTCAGTTTCTCGAGCCCTTGGGGACTGGGATATGAAGTTTCCTCGTGGTTCTCCCTCGCCTTTGATTGCGGAGCCTGAGTTTCGTCAAGTGGTTCTGACAGAGGATGATGAGTTCCTCATCATAGGTTGTGATGGAATTTGGGATGTCATGACAAGTCAGCAGGCAGTCAACCTTGTTCGTAGAAGCCTGAGGAGGCATTATGACCCAGAGCGCTGTGCCAGGGACCTGGTCATGGAGGCACTACGCCTTAATACGTTTGATAATCTCACAGTGATTGTTGTGTGCTTCTCTTCTAATTCTATTGATCCCAGGGAGCCATCCCCTCCTCGTCAGAGGAAATTGAGGTGCTTTAGCCTTTCTGCAGAGGCGCTTTGTAGCTTGAAGAACTTGTTGGAAGGCAGTGCAAGTAATTGAATGTATAATATGCGGCTTAATCTAAAAAGTGTCTTTTTTTTTTTTGGGGGTAGAATACTAATACTTATGCTGTTTTTGGTTGCTTCAGTTTTGACGGCAGAAAAAGCAGCCTTCCATTTTGTGGTTGGTTGGTTGATTTATGTATATAGCCCTGAGGATGATAGTGGTGTAAATACATGTGTTCTGGATTACTCGTATGTTGTAACCATGGATCGTTATATTCATAGCATTATTCTTGCGTTGAATAAAAGAATTGTTTAGAACATTCTTTTCATCCATGCTACTGTCGGGCGAATCTTGGCTCTTTTTTTCTTTGATAAACTCTTGGCTCCTGTGCGTAACACTCGCACAAAGAACAGGAGTAGTTATGTTTTCGAAGAAAACGTCGAGGAATCGCAAATTAAAAATACAAGAATGTCGAATGTGTGTTAGAAGTCAAAAGGAGGAAATCAATTTAGAAGTTTTTTTTTTTTTTTGGAAAAAAATAAAGAAGGCACAATAATAATACTGAAGGGGTTAGAATTCAAAGCGGAGAAGGATATTTGTGATACATGACTCCTTGACACATGAAAGGTCAACCAAGAAGTGAAAAAGAGCAGCGGCTTGGAAAGTCAGAATTAGGGCTCCTTCGTGTCAAAGTCGAAGGAATGGAATCTGTTTGGAAGGAAAAAGAACCTCGGCAAGCAGCTGCGTGATTACCACGGAGGTGTCGTCCATGACGCCTCTCGTTGTTGGCCCCATTCTTGGAAAGTAGAGGCCCTCAGATGCTAAGCGTCGTTGTCATCTGCAAGGCCATGAAGCGTTTCTGACTGGGTCTGGGGGTTTCAGAGCAGACTTATTGCGTGATGGCCGTATCCTTTATTGTGTCCAAAGCATGATTCTTGTATGATCGCAACATCAGCGAAGAAAATGACAGACAAATGAGGGTGCTGAGTTTCGGGGGACAGCAGAATTCTGCTTGGTTCTCCGTTAATAGTACGAGAAAGCCACGGAAAGTGTGTAAGAAATTGAGTGATTGAGCATCACGATGTGTTAGGATCGTCCAATGTTGAACTTGAGTGTGGTGTTGTCACCTGCCAGTGGTCAAAATTAGAACAGTCTGGGGCAAGCAAAAACTGTGGGAGCGGGCAACAATTAATGCAGCAAGCATGCCTCGGAGTTTTCAAGCACACCCGCAAATCATAGTGTCCACTTTTCCGCATTTTATTCCCCTTTCTCCGCCAAGTCGCCATTGGGTGACGTGACTGCCTCGCGTAGGCTTTCGCCCTTCACTATCTCTGATATTTGATTAAAAACACACCTGCCTATTCTCATCCGCTAACAATCCAGTGGTCTTTTACCAATCCCCAATAAAAACTAATGTTAATAGTAGTATCTAGGCAGCTAACGATAGCATTCGCCGTTTCTAATCTATAAGCATCCCAGCGCTTGCTCCTCAAGGCAGAATGAACATCGACTTCCCATTTGGAATGCAGAGCTGAACTTTAGCACAGCCCAATTAGTAAGCATCGTTGCATCAAGCTCCAACATGAGGCCCATTTATGCGCGGAGACGTTCAGAGTTTTCGTAAGAATTCGAGCAAGTCAGCCACAACAAAGCAAGCCTCCATGGTTAAAGCAATAACAAGTATTAAAGCGAGGCAAATAGGTGATGTCTAACCTCGACTCGAAATGCCTGACCGTTTGCAGATCGGCTGTATTAATTTTAAAAACTCATCGGAGATGACATTGCATTTTCAAAGGCTACTAACTTACTAATGAAGCTTAATAAGGGAAGTAAACAGGTGGGTTTGGAGGACCCAAGCCGTCACTGCATTGAGGCCGGGACACGTGATCCGAAACAGTATGGTAATGAATTGAATATGCCGCAGACCTAGTTTGATTTTTAGATGGTCCCCTATAGTATATCATATGCACATGAAATAAAAATTTCAACAGCCATCTTTTATATATATATATATATATATATATAGATACATACACACTCCGAACGAAAATAATAAAACTCAAGATAATAAAACAAGTCTGAGCTATTACAGGTAGTCCAACTAGGGTTATGCTGCGCTAGCTGATACATGAATACTAAAATACCATGTTGTTCATGGCAGAACTTTTTTTGTCGTTCTACGTCAACTGGTCATAATTCCTTTTTAAATTTGGAGGCACTGGGTAGGAAATATAAATGTCATTTCCATGAGCTTTTGTCTGCAGGGTTTGGGGAGCTCATGAATCAAGGATGCTTCCTGGGAGCTCACTGCAGATGCCGAAGCCAAGGTAAAGGGTTTTCATCACCTTCATCCCTCGATCAGATCCGTCTCCACGTAACTGATTATATTCTGTCTTTACTCCTTCTATGAACTCGGATAGGTTGGAGGGTAAGGTGGCCCTCGTCACCGGCGCTGCCAGTGGGATCGGGGAAGAGACGGTGAGACTTTTCGCTGAAAACGGTGCCTTCGTAGTAGCAGCAGACGTTCAAGACGAACTGGGTCTTCAAGTCGCCGCCTCCATAGGATCAGACAGAGTGAGTTACCATCACTGCGATGTCAGAGATGAACAGCAGGTGGAGGAAACAGTAAACTACGCTGTGCAAAAATACGGAAGCTTAGATATCCTGTTCAGTAACGCTGGAATACTTGGATCGTTATCCGGAATCCTGGATCTTGATCTGAATGATTTCGACAGCACCGTGGCCACAAATGTTCGTGGTGTGGCTGCGACGATCAAACATGCTGCTCGTACTATGGTCGCAAGGAACATCCGCGGATCCATCATTTGCACCGCCAGCGTGGCAGCTTGTGTTGGAGGAACGGGGCCTCATGCTTACACCATATCGAAGCATGCTCTTGTTGGACTCGTACGGTCCGCATGTAGTGAGCTTGGGGCTTATGGGATTAGAGTAAACTGTGTGTCCCCTTTTGGAGTTGCCACGCCTCTTGCATGTTCGACCTTCAATCTTGAACCCCATCAAGTTGAGGCTAATAGCTCTTCCCAGGCTAATCTCAAGGGGATTGTGTTAAAGGCAAGGCATGTTGCAGAAGCAGCTTTGTTTCTTGCTTCTGATGATTCTGTTTACATCAGTGGACACAACTTGGTGGTTGATGGTGGCTTCTCTGTGGTTAAACATAGTTTTTCTCCCATCTGATGCCTCCTATTTTTGCTATGGCGGCTATGGCTTGCCCTGAAGCCTGTAATTTATTGCTCATCATTTTTCCTTTCAATTCTCTTTCAAGTTGGGACCAAATTGCCTTAATTTGTGTTTCAGTCTCAATCGTACGTCACTGCCACTTCTCATGTGAACTTCTCCAAAATATTAATGAATACGTCATGTCTCTCCTTTTCTATTCCCCTCTTCACAAATTCAACCATCTTTATTTTCTGCTACTCATTTTACTTGGGTTTTATCTATGTTCTTAGATGGTCACGGTATTCGATTTTGGTTCTTTATTCTTCTTGGGTCTGATTTGTCACTATCGCTTAGTCTAGAGCTCCACTTGATGATTTGGGAACCTGAATGGATCTAGCATCCATCGGCCGCTGGCTATTGGCGATAATTAGTAAGTCAAAATTGCCATCTTTACCTGAAAGACGTCGGCCGCTAAAGATCATATGAGTGGATATATACTGTTGAAAATGAAATCAAGTTGCTCAAATATTCCCATGACTTGGAAGGGAAGGATCATCACGTGCATGCTTTTCAATTTCACTGTCATGCGACAGCCAGACCAGAAGGAGACCATGGTCATGTGGTCGAAGGTTATTTTAATGGCAAAAACATTGGGAACATATGTTACTACATGCTACAAGGGAGACAAATCACGTAGTTTATACGGTCGGTCTGAATCCATGTGTCCTGCTTACTCAGACCTCCCAATCTTCCCATTCCCAACTCTGAAATTATCCAGAGTTTCTTCCCTCTGTTGAAAAATAAATCCTCAGTACGATTCTTATACAATCTAAGTCGAAACAGAAGATGAATATTTGGCATTTGGAAAAAGAACAAGAACTTGCGCTTGAGTCATATGCCCTCAAAAATTAATAATGAGGCCGCTGCTGAATCTAGCGGTGATTACTTGACTCTTACCCCCCAAGCACGCGCGCGCGCGCACAAACTATATTATTGATCAATTGTCGATTGTCAACCCATAACTTGCGGAAGAAACACGTGAGCTTCTAAAATGTAGCTGAATCGAGCTATATATCTTCTTCCTCTCCTCCACATGATATTATATAAACTTCCCTTTGGTTAATGCTGAACCTTCTTGAACTTCAACTAATATCGTTTAAAAGGCTGAAACTGCTTAGAACATTTTATACAGTAATACTACCTCCAGTCTTTAATATAAAAACTAACTGACTAATTTGAGTAGATTAAGAAAATTAATTTAGTTATTTGTAATAAATATATATTGTCTTTTCTAAAACATTGTTACTAATCAAATATATTAGTTAAAACTACTATTATTAGAAAAATTATCTTAAAACAAGCAAATATGAAAGTAATAGTGAATTGAAATTTTATATTTAAGATCAAAATAATAGTCAAACGAGCTTTTAATAAGGACAAGAAAGAAGCGCCTCAGATACAATGTTGACAGCCAACAATGCAGTGCGAGTAGCAGTTTCGTGAAGTTGGGTGTAAATATTATTCAGAAAACTATGTTCACGAACATTTATGCATTGGATCCGACACCAGCTCTTCCGTTCAATGAAGAGAATATCACAGCTGTGGAATAGGGTTGACTTTCTTCCAAAAACAATCCAATGCATAACATGCATATCTTTCGTAACTTTAATTTTTAAATCTGATTTCGCAGTTAATAAATAAGCATGTTGCATTGCATTTTGTCAAAAATAAAATTTAAAATATTCAAATAAATCCCAACGGCTCAAAGGGGACGTCCACACGGTCCACACTTGATGTCTACCATATTCAAGTTAAGAATAAGTTATAATTGACGGTTAATCCAGGAAGAAGAAGATGTGGTGTGGATGTCGTCCAGAGAGTCGAATTATCTTGTCATGTACGTTTTTTAATTCCCATCCAGTAACCAAGTCTAGGGCAAAGGAGGCTCGATTAAATTTACAAGATTGATTGAAACTGACACAGCATGAGTCGATATAATATAGTGCGACCAAACACCTAGGAAAGGCAAATGTCATCGTGAAAGTCTTCAATCGTATGTTAAACGGTCGTGCATAAAGCAATTGCTTTCAGTCAATGAAGAATATTATCACGACATGAAGCCTTGTGCTTGAGATGAACGTTCAGGCCGTCCCCTAAAATCACACCTTGGATTATCTGCTTTTACGTTTCTCCTATCGTTCCGCAGTTATGTCAAATCTCACCCAAGACTTCTAAGATGTCCGTGACGATTACAATGGTGAAGGGAGACGGACGAAACAAAGCTCAGGAAGGCAAAAAGCGGCGCACGGTGGTGATCATGCCATTAGGAGGAGGCATGGAATTGAATTGTACCAGATTAAAGGGGAACGACGTGGGAGGTGCTGCAGCAATACTGAGGATTAAAACTGTTCCTTTCTCAAGATCAGTACGCGAGATCGAGAAAAAGGAAACAATGGAGGCCATGACAAGACAAGTTGCTTGCAATAATTTTGGTGCCCCAGTCGAAAAGAGAGATGGCGATGATATAATGTGCAGTGGTGTGGGTCACTGGCTCAAAGGGCAGGATAGGTTTTGAATGGTGTACAAATGGACCAAACCTACACACTTCGCCTTACTTGATTTTAAACGTCAAAACAGCTTAAGATGCGACTTCACCTCATTCACAGTTAGTCAAGAAAGAAACACAAAACATAACACTAGCGCAAAAACATCAACATGAAAGAATGAAGAGCACAATTACCTTACAGTTTACACCACGCTGCTTAAAAATTCATTTTGACTCCACGTTTGGTCGTATCCCTCTATTCAGGTCAGTAAATATGTAGGTCTAACAAATCAACATTATAAATAACAGAGTAATCCAACAAGGGCAAAAAAAAGTACACATTTAGAGGCAAGTATGCCATTAATGTTGATGCGTGCAGTTTGGAATCAGTGGGCATCACCCCATCTTTCAAAACAGGATACGCCGATTCATAACATACCAAAAAGCCCAGAATGATGAATGACTACTGCTCATTTGCATAACAATATAGAAAAAGGCAAGCAGTGACATAAATATCCCTTCGAGTCAGTATGAAAGCCATCGGAATGCTTAAACAAAAATTTTGGGTGACGCTAAAAGCAACGCAATCTAATCCGTGCATCACAGAAGAAACCTTGGGTATCTGATGTTGTTGGCATATCTCGGACAAATTTACAAGTGTTTCGCATGCAAAACCTTCTATTCAATAAATCATTCTCATAGAACAACAATGGGAATTCAATGCACAATCAGAAACAGCTATGCCGCAACATATCTTGTGCCTTCTATCCATAATGTCATAGGTGTGAAAAGAAGTCATAGTACATGGAAAAAAGACATAGCATGCATAATACACCATAACCGGATTCCAATTGCCAATTGCGTCATTTTTTTTTTTGAATGAATCCAAGTGCATCATTTATATAGGAAAGGAAATCGGTCATGCGAAGGTAAAATAAAGTTCGCTTGAGGCTGAAAAACCAAAACCAAATGATAGCCCGGTAAAATGCTAATGAGGAAGTAAAATTTAAAACCACAAATACTACGAGTTTCGTAATTTATAGATGAAAATCCTTTCGAGCACTCCACATATTATCAAACATAAATTAAGATAATCTCTGAAAATCGGTTTAGTCACAAATAGAACATGTAATAGAGGGACGAGATTCGCTTCATAATTTCGCTCAGTCACCGCCGGCTTTCTGGTAAACATAGGTGAGACCGCACTTACCGCAGTAGTGCCTATCAAAATGATTGGCCATAAAGGTGCCAGCTCCGCATTCCGCGTTCGGGCACTCCTTCCTCAGCCTCTGAACCTTCCCAGAATCATCGACTTTGTAAAACTGTAAGAGAGCGAGCTTCACCTTCTTCTTCTTGTGCTTAATTTTCTTGGGCTTTGTGTAAGTCTTCTTCTTACGCTTCTTGGCACCACCACGGAGGCGAAGAACAAGGTGGAGGGTAGACTCCTTCTGGATGTTGTAGTCAGCAAGAGTTCGTCCATCCTCGAGTTGCTTGCCAGCGAAGATGAGGCGTTGTTGGTCCGGAGGAATGCCTTCCTTGTCTTGGATCTTGGCCTTCACATTATCAATTGTATCAGACGACTCAACCTCTAAGGTTATCGTCTTACCTGTGAGGGTTTTCACAAAGATCTGCATCTTCGGATGCAGATAGAAGATGATGGTGCCTGTCAGGTGACTGGGATTATACCCCCGGGCTTCGGCGAAAGTTAGAGAAAGAGATGAAGGAGACTGTGAGTTTTAGGGTTTTGTTGCGAGGTGGCGGCGTAGGGGCTCTTGTTGTGATTACGAAATAGCCCCCGTGACTAATAGCAACAGCTGGCTTCTGCCTTCTTTTTTCTTTAAATATTTGTGGGCCAGATTTGAAAAACTATCTGGACCGGATGAAGATATAGAGACTATAAATTGCCAAAAATCCATGTGTGAAGAACAAGAAAGCCCCATGTTTTTCTGTGAGCAACTGAGTATGAGTTCGAAGCTAAAATGAGGTTCTTCGTTTTTTTCAAATATATTTGCGAATAAGAACCATGCTACGGGAGGGAAAATAGTCTCATTCTTTAAGAGTATTTGAGTAAGAACAAAATCATAGTTTCAAAAGTGTTTTTAAAATATACTAAGTAAAAGTGTCTCGATTTAAAAAAAGTATTTCTAAAAAGTGATTATGAAGTTATTCAAACACCTCTTTGTCAAGCATTCGTCTGGGTGCTCAATTTTTTTGTTCATATTTTTTGCCAAACTGTTTTTGTTCATATTATAAGCATGAGTTGTCAACAACTCGATGCAGTTAATTAAGCAGAATTTGGCCCAAAAAAAAAATCAAGAAGAATATTAAAAGAAATTAACGCGTATGGAGAGGGTTTCTTAACAAGAAGTATTAAAACTCATTGAAAAAGTTCATGGCGCAAGAAAACTAGTTACTGCTGCTTGATAGTGGATACCTCGAGTTTGACGGAAAAAAAGAACTTAACTAGCATCTCAAAGCATTTGAGATCAATTAAGGTCGCCCTATAATTAAGATGGGGTAAAATCATACATAAATCATTGTTTTTCCTAAAACATTTTAAATGAAATATTAATCTCTCATAGATTTATTATAAGCATAAAATAATTAAATTTGTATATAAACAAAAATCAATTAAAATTTATTTTAAACAATAAATAAGTTATAAATATATTTTTATTCTTAAACATTATAATAAATGAGAAAAAAAATGACAAAAATATATGACGGGAAAGCTTGTGGAAAAAAAGAGAAAATATGATTAATAACAAAATTAAAAAAGCACATTAAATGTTAAGATAAAATCAAATTAAAACTCATGAAATAGATTTTTGGGAAAATTTCACTGTAGGACCGCAGAAGACAATTAATCTCAAAGAGCCCCCAAAACTTTCTGAAACCTCACTGCAGGACCAAGGGGCCAATCTGATATTAATTCCACAAACGAAATGACGCCACTGCCCCTAGTAGAAACTTATTTCCTTGAGGGAACAAGTGCGGGAGAGCGCATTTGCAAGGGGAACTAGCCAATTTGCAGAATAAATACATATATTCACATGTGGAATCAGTTCGTTCACATGTGGACTGGTTCAGCTGAAGCATGTGTCCGTGAGGGAACAAGTGCGGGAGAGCGCATTTGCAAGGGGAACTAGCCAATTTGCAGAATAAATACATATATTCACACGTGGAATCAGTCTGTTCACATGTAGACTAGTTCACCTAATGCATGCGTCCGTGAGGGAACAAGTGCGGGAGAGCGCATTTGCAAGGGGAACTAGCCAATTTGCAGAATAAATACATATATTCACACGTGGAATCAGTCCGTTCACATGTGAACTAGTTCATCTAAAGCATGTGTCCGTGAGGGAACAAGTGCGGGAGATCGCATTTGCACGGGGAACTAGTCAATTTGCAGAAGAAATACATATATTCACACGTGGAATCAGTCCGTTCACATGTGGACTGGTTCACCTGATGCTAAGGTAGTGACGTCATTTCATTTGTGGAATTAATATCAGATTGGCCCTTGGTCCTGCAGTGAGGTTTCAGAAAGTTTTGGAGGCTTTTTGAGATTAATTGTCTTGTGGGTCCTACAGTGAAATTTCCCTAAAAATTATGGATAACAAAACATCTCATAATATTCATCTAGTCGCCTCTCTTGCCCGGAGAAAGGAAAACAAGTCGGAAACATTCTGTTGTTCATTCTTCTCCTCCGCCTGACCTGAGCGATTAGCGAAGGACGTGCGCGTCGCCTGCTCAAATACTACTGTGCTTTATTTTCCCTTCTCTGAGCATGGAGGAGCAAAACCGTCCGAAGCATGATTTAGGGCTCGAAGGCGAGAGAGGGGACGATATGGAGCAGCGCTGCAATTTCTGGCTTCCCAGGAAAAGCAGATTTTGTGCAAACTCGAGTCTCAAAGATTCCATGTAAGCTTGATTCTCTCTGTTTTTTTTTTTTTCTGGTTCCTGGAACTTCACTGGGCTTCTCAAATCCTTCTGCACTCCTACTGAGTTAGATTCTGCGGCAATCACAACTCAACGTCTGAAGGCCAGTGGATCCCCTGCCCCTTGGATCCTTCGCAGTAAGATATCTACAACTTCTTCCGTATAACGTGCTCTATCAAACATCTGCCATCGCTGTAGTTCTGCTTTTGTATCTCAATATCTGATTGTCGCTTCCTTGCTCCTTTTTTCCTCTTATAGCTCAGTACTTAAGCAAAACGTGGGAGGGCATGTTAAGCGATGCCCGAAGCTGAAACAAGTTCAGTCGTTGTCTCTCCAACATTTTTATCGAAAAGGCATTAACGCTGGCAATGAAGATGAGGAAACGTTAAAAGTTCGTGATTCAGTATTGCCCAAGCCCGTCACAATGCCTTTGGATAACATTTCTTCAGAAATGAAGAGAGATATTGTGCATAATATGAGTATAATTGAATTCTCAAATTTAATTGGAAAGATCGAATCTGTTTACGAATCGTTCTCCAAGGATATTCGAGACTCATATCAGATTTCAGAGGTTTGCAGTCGATGGATTGAATCCGCAGTTGAGGAGAGGTAGTTATTGGCGAAGTATAATGTAGTTTTATGGAACTGGTTCGATTTCCAACTTAGTTTGTTTGCAGGAAATTGCCGTTTCAAGAGAAACACGTAATGCAACAGGCATCTATTCTGGGAAACTTGGAAATTTTTGGTGTGCTAAAGAGTTCTCTTGGAAGTCAACCATCCGAGTGCAAGGAGGAGGAGGAGGATAGTGTCCCTGCGGTGATCGAGTTTGGAGCCGGCAGAGGATACTTGACACAAATTCTTGCAGATTGTTATGGAATTAAAAGAGTTTTCCTTGTTGAGAGAAAATCTTACAAGCTGAAGGTTAGCCTCGCAAGTGCTTTAACTGAGTTGTAGGACACGATAGCTAAATTTGAAGAGGTTCACGTGTGTCTGATTTCATAAAGAGTTCATTTACTTGTATACTTTGTCGTGCAGAGCAATATTAGTTTATTCACTGTTTATATCACGCCACTATTATTTCTAGGCTGATCGATCCTTGCGACAGAATGAGGGCTTGGTGTTAGAGCGTTTGAGGATTGACAGTAAGGCTCATTGGAATCGTTGCTGCAGAAGATATGCTGTAATTATGCTTGTAGCGTTATGCGGCATATTGAGATAACCATTTCTTTTAGGAGGAGATTTGGTTGTCTAACTGCGAAGTTCATATATGTGGTTGCCATCTGAAATATTTAATATTTAGCTTTGTATTTTAGTTTTGCTTCTTTTTGTTAATTCTAATCCACAGAGCACAAGTTCCTTGGTCTGTTGTGTATGATCCTAGCTGCATTTAGACTAAACTAAAGCTCTTCTTGGTTTGGGCCCATCTCAAACTTGTGTTAAAAAAAAAAATCACAATTCATGTATGCATTATTGAATTGTTTATATGTTCTGCGCCGATTTTCAAAATTTTAGCATCTTTAAGAATGCGTTGAATTTTGCAAGATATCTGATGCCTAAGATGATTCTTTTATTCACATATCTTGTCATATCTTGTTTATTTGAAATTTGCATCACTGCCTCACTTATTTCGAGGCTAGGATGCTCCTATATGTATTACATATGCTTAAGCTGCTGATTTTGAAGTTATGGATCTTGCAACATTGTAAAAATCAACTTTTGCAGTTGAAGATTTAGATTTAAACGCGGTGGAGTCTTTGGAAGGAGTTCCTTTTCTGGCGATTGGTAAACATCTATGTGGGGCTGCAACAGGTTATGTTTTGCTATTTAGACACATGTTCTAATGAATTCATGGCTAATGCTTTTTTGAGGAGAAGATCAATCATGTTAATGCGGACACATTAGTCTTTGTTGTTGTTGTTGTTGCAGATTTGGCTTTGAGATGTTGCTTTCCTGAAAAAAATGACCAGTGCGATGCTAAGAAGAACTTTGGAGGTTTGGCCATCGCTACATGCTGCCATCATCTATGCCAGTGGAAACACTATACAAGTAACTTCCTGATCCTTCACTCCTAGCGAGCATCAGCTGAAACGTTTATAGCTCTTACTATCTTCTTCCCTCTTTTGGGATGTGAGGTTATCTTATAGTCGTGAGCCTTCTGTTTTCGTTATCTGCAGATAAGAAATATTTTTTGGACTTGGGGATAACAAAGGATCAATTCCATGCCATTACATGGTTTACCAGCTGGGCAGTAGATGCTAATCATGGTTCAGAAATATCGGATATTACTGATTGTGCTTCAAATTTACTGTCAATGTAATGAATTTAACTTTGCAGTCATTAATTTGAATATGGACCTCTTTGGTGCCGGTGTACTTTTCTGTTTTTGGGGTTACTGGCGAATTTCTGATTCCAAGTTCTGTGCAGTGACAGAGAAAACGGTGACCAGCACGCAAGCGGAGCAGAAAAATTTCTTACCGACATGAAACCATCTGAAAGGGCAGCGCTGGGTTTTAAATGCAAGCGCATGATTGACATGGGGAGGTTGTTGTGGTTAAGGAAACGAGGCTTGAATACGCAGCTCGTCAGATACGTTCCCTCAACCATTTCGCCCGAGAATTATTTGCTGATTGCCAAGCCTCACGGTCGTATGTAAATATATAAAATTTAAATTTTGGTAAGGAGCCCCCTTTTTCTTTCACCATTTTGTGGGTTTGTGATTGAGATGTTTTATGCGCTTTCAGTAAACCCGGTATACTGAAATTAGACTACCGTTTGATGATGACGAGATGGTGAATGATAGATTGATGGTACAATTTGTCACTCGTTTTTTCTCCTGACCGAGGCTTTCTTTCTTCAAAGAGGGCATCTGCTCACATCCTCCTTGAAGGTCTTTGCCTGCCCCGCCCTGCAGTCTAGTCAGGTTCCCAGCAGACGCCCTGTTTGGTTCAATCAATGCGGAAGGGTGAACAGAAACACAAGAGGTTATGAGTTTGTGGCATTATGTAGGGTGCTGTTTATTGAGCCGAAATGTTGTGCTGTTTTCCATCCACCATTTGGAACGCTTCATCCGTTTTTAAAGAACAGAGGGTGCTCAAATGAAACCAGTGTGCGGATGAAGGAACGGGGAGCGTATGCGTCCATATATTTAAATTTGACGTAATGTATACAAAGTTTATAGATCCCGTGCAGTCCACCTCCACTCGTACCAAGATTAAGCCCCTTAATCCGTTTCGGTTTCGGGTGAATAAAGATGTTTTATTTTTATTATTGATAATTCGCTATTTGAGACAGTTCCTGTTTAAGAAAGATTAGTGACGTAAAGGAAAAAAACTAGAATGGCAGCATCTTTCACCGCCCCCCCCCCCCTCCCTCCCAAAGGAAATCTCAAAAAACGAAAAAGCCAGCACTGAAAAGACATTACCAATTACCAAATAGATCTTATATTTAAAAAATTAGATTTTATATTTAAAATCGAAGGTACTATATAATAAATTCGCCTGAGGATTGGAATATATAAACTGGCCAACTGGGAACAATGTTACATGAAAAGACAAGGCAAAACGATACGCAAACTGTTGAGTAACGATAATATATATACGACACAGTGATCGATATAGGAGTTTAAGGCGCACATTCTACATTATGTGCTGACCCAAATGTTTTCTCTGTGGAATAATACATGTAAAGAAATCCATCCTCATCCTTGAATGATCCATAGACAGAGTTCATCAAGCTAGCTGCAAAACCACATATGCAACAAATTAGAACACCGTAGGGGAAAAACAAGTGGGATTTAATTTGCGACTTTACCAGTCTGAGGCAAGGTATTCTTCACAAATACAAATAGAGCTTTTCCTGGGTTAAGATGGAGTCTGCAACTCAAAACATGAATGAAATGCCCGACGGACATGTCTCGGGGAACAAGGAATCTATCAGGATGAAAAAGCGAGAATAATTATCAAAGATATGGTAAACAGAGTTGCGAAATCTAAGCCACAGAAGAATTTCAAATTTTCAATGCCGACTAATGCTATCTCAATAATGTGCGTGATAAGCTAATCTGATTGATGAAAGAATTTGCTTCTCTCAATATATAGTCATAGGTAACAAAAATCAACGTTCCTCTTATCCGCTTTGGCACATTGTTTGAAGGGTAATCCATGGTAAGTAGACTAGCTAAAACACAGAAACCAGAAAATGTATGTTCTCGTCTCATTGCTTTAAGGGAAAACATTATGTGAAGTCAACGGAACTCAGTATTATATCCAAACAAAAATAGAATAAAAAATCTAAAGTTGATGGCTCCTCAAGATTGCTTCCCCCTAAGTCGATGACTTTATGAATTCGTCTTTTTTTAACGATATATTGCAATCATGGAGTCAATTGCCTTCCCAATATTTAAAGAGAATTTTACTAAAACCAAGCAGGGTCATACTTTCTTTTTTCCAGTTCAGGAAGGTCACTTTTCGAATATCTTTCGACGATCACCTGAAAAATAAGAGCATACAGAATAAATAAGCTGCTGTCAAATAATCCAAGCTCATATCACTCAGCATGTTCATCTATTATCGAATATGAATGATCAGCTCAGCTCACAATAATCAACGGTTAAACTCAAATAGGAAGCCCAAAAGGTTTATGAAGGCTAGTGAGGAAAGTGAACTTAATCAGAAAATTTAGGAAAAGCCTACAGCGAATAAGAAACTGGCTAAATTTTATGTCTTCCTTCTACAAATCATCGGCGGAATAAAGAGCATGAGGACCTCACCGGTACTCGGTCGGGATATTTGGCTACAATCTCCCTCGATTCCTCAAGTCTTTGCTCTGCATGTAAATCAAAGCGCAGAGTCACCAAAAAACAAATTAACGCACATAGATTTGCATAAACAGTCAATAATTGCTCTCACCAAAGGGAAACTCATCCTTAAACCGGGAGCTGCCTCCCATGCCTTCCTTCTCCAGCAAGTTCGTTTGCCCTGACACGTCGCTTGAAGCCTTGGAGGCGTACATGTATATATCACGTTAAGATGTTAGTGGAGAATTAGTCTATATATATAAAAACAAGGAGAGGGCCAACATCGCGCGGGGATAGCTCAGTTGGGAGAGCGTCAGACTGAAGATCTGAAGGTCGCGTGTTCGATCCACGCTCACCGCAAGGGTTTTTTTTTAACTTTTGAATATTTCCTCTTTTTTGTTTTTTTTGGCACATAAAATTTTAGGCAGGGTTCAGGTTCGACCCAAACTAAAAATAGGGTACTTGAATGGCTCCTGATATCAATGTTGGGCAGAATTCCTTCTTTTTTGGGATGAGAGGGCACGGCCGATGGGTGCATACTTCTTTCCTTTGAGACTTGAGCTGAGGACCATTATTGCCTAGTCCTTTTGTATTTCTTTCCTTAACAGCTGGAGCCCATTATTTGCCCGGCGGCGTATTTCTTCATTTTCCCCGTCAGGCCCATTATTTGCCCGTCCGGGTATCTTTTCATTTTCCCCGCCAAAATAAAATATTTTCCTGCCAAATTCTTTGGACCGAATGCCCAATTTTTGTCGGGTGATGAGGTTCGGGCCCTGCCCAATTCTCGGGAGCTGAAGGCTGATTTTTTGTCCGTGAGTCATTAGGTTCGGCAGAATTCGGCCTCCGTCCTGGTCGGACATGAAAATATGGCCTCCTCCGTCGCAGGTCGCGAATTCCCCGTCAGGCGAACACAAAGGACTTGGCGGTCAGCTCTGTGAAGGAGAATAAAGAGTTGAGTTCACTCTACAGAAGACTGGAAAGTTAAGTAGCAGCATATGAAGTGAATACCATCATGGGGGTTCAAAGTTTAAGTGAATGGCGGATCCGTCGTGGTCCATACCTTGGAGAAGTTTCAGCCCTCTGTTTTCTTCACCTTCCTTCTCATTTCTCTTCTCTTCCTCTTCTCCTTGCTGGTATTCATTTCTGTCTCTATGTAGTATGCCTGTTCACTTTATCTGAAGCTCGCGGCTTTATACTTACTAGTTACTTAACAACAGGAATGGGTTCCAAAATTCTGACGTACAACTTGGAACTGGAAAAGATGGTAAGATCATTCACAGTGTTCGATGGCATTCGCGTGCATGGACTTGCGTCTGGTGTCATGAGTAGCACACAACAGACTTCTGCTATTGAGTTTGCCACTAAAATTGCTGTTTATGGGGAACGAAGAGTTAAAGTATATAGCTTCTCCGTTGATACTGTCTCAGGATACTCAAATAAATCAGGATTCCGCCCACAAATGACTCTGTTTCATACGCTGCCTAAGTTCAGTCACTGGGTTTTGGATGTTTGCTTCCTGAAGGTACTTTTTGTATTTGTTTGAAGAATAATTGCGGTTTTATATATATATATATATATATATATATATATATATATATAAATGCTTTGGTTTGCTGTTGCTCGTAGGGCTACTTAACTCATTCCAACGAGGAAAGCCATTTTCTCGTGGCCATAGGATGTAGCGATAATTCAGTTCATGTCTGGGACGCCTTGAAGTCTGTTGCGGTTCTTAAAATTCAATCTCCAGGTTAGTCTGCAAACGACATGGACCGAATCGTCTGAACTTCCATTTGTAAAAATTCTCAGGGCGGGGTGCTTCATAAAGTTTACTTGGTGGTTCAGTGGTGAACTTCCTTACCCGCTTTATTTTAAATCTCATCACATGGTTGATTTTAATCATGATAACGTGTTGGATTACTCCACATAATTGCGTTTCTCTGGTTCATTATTGATCACTTTGCTGATATCTACCTTTTATCGTTCAAACATAGTACGGTGCCTTTTATACTCAATGCGATTGTGGGGTGACAATCTTGAAGTTCTCCGTGTTGCATCTGGCACTATATATAATGAGGTAAGAAATCTACAATGGCATTCACAATTCTTAACTCCTAAGAGTTGCAAATGCGCTTATCTGTCATCTGTTTATATCTCTAAATGTATTTTAAATAGTATTGTCTTTGGTTTCCTTGGTTTTCTTCACATGGCTGCTCTACTTGATTTGACTGGCTTGTCTATCTGTTAACCCCCCCTTCTTTCTTTCTTTCTTTCTTTCTTTTTCTTTTCTTTTTTTTTCCCAGCAGTTATGTTAGTGCGATTAAACATTTGGTTTTCTCAGATAATTGTTTGGAAAGTGGGCCCCAATCATGATGCTTCTAGTTTAAGAAGTGTAGCGGAAGACCAGGATCACCAGAGCATTTCATTTTCTCTTTGTTACCAGCTAAGTAATCAACAGTATGAGGCTGTTCATGTATCCAAACTTGTTGGACATGAAGGTTCAATCTTTCGAATAGCATGGTCTTCGTGTGGATCTAAACTCGTATCAGTCTCTGATGATCGCAGGTGTGTTAGTTTTTTAATATTTGACCATTGTAGTGATTTGTTAGTTGTAATGATTTGATTTTTCTTTCATTACAGTGCACGTGTCTGGGCGGTTCCTATTAAAAGGGAAGAATTGTTGGGCCATGATCCTGTTGCCCTTGTCTTATTTGGTCATAGTGCTCGAGTGTGGGACTGCTCCATTTTTGATTCTGTAAGCATTTTAGTGCTGCCTACTCTTTCAAATAGTTAATTAGTGCATCTGATGAAGTGATGATTATTATGACTTATGACTTGCTGATTATTATGTTTAAGTTGCCAAATTATCTATCAAGTGTTGCTGCAAATTTACATTTATATGTTTGTTTATATAGCATTCGTAAAGCATTTTCCCTATTTTAGCATCTTACTTTACTTAGTCATGCAGTTTTCTTGCCTAAGGTAATATAAAGGTTCGGGGTCTTAGGGGCACATTTCATTCCTTGTTTGGAATTTCTTTTCTGATGACTTTCTGCAGCTGATTGTCACTGCCAGCGAGGACTGCACTTGTCGTATATGGGGAATGGATGGTGAACAGCTTCAGATCATTAGGGAGCACACGTAAGTTGTTAACATGAGATCTTGGCTTCTGAGAAATGAGTTATTAATTGCTGAATTTTTGGGATATACTATATCTTGAATTAATTAATAATAAATGGTCATTGATATGGAGATTCTATTTAATTTTTGAATTGAATTTCTAAATGGGATGACCGTTGGTAATATGTTGCGGAATTCCTGGAGCTCCAACCGTAGTTTTGTCCTAAAGATCTAACTATATAAATTATTGGTTGTCCTTGATAAGTTTTTTTTGCTTATTAAATGTGATGCCTGCGTGATGTTTAAAAGGCCTAAGAAATAGAGTGATTTGTCTTGTGCAGAGGAAGGGGTATATGGAGATGTTTGTACGATCCAAACACTTCACTCCTAATTACTGCTGGGTTTGATTCTGCCATCAAAGTGCATCAGCCTTATGCTTTAATGTCTCGTGGCTTGACTGCAGCAAAAGAGAAACCTGATAGAACTGAGACGTTCTCCATTTGTATCCCTAATGCGTTGGATGAAATTGGGCTTATGGACAGGTAGCATTAGTGCACATGATATGCTCGCCTAGATTTTTTTTCTTTAAACATTTCTAAATTTCAAACTGCTCTTAGAAAACACACTACACCCACACACACACATGATGGCTTTGTTTCCTTTTTGTCTATTGCAGTAAGAGTGAATATGTCCGCTGTCTGCGTTTTGCCTGTGAGGAGAGTCTTTATGTTGCTACAAATCACGGCTATCTCTATAATGCCAAATTATGTGGCTCTGGAGGTGCCCAGTGGACTCAACTTGTACAGGTCAGCAATGGGGCACCGATTATCTGTATGGATTTATTGTCTAAGGACTTTGTTGAACTTGACTGTGGTGCTGAGGATTGGCTTGCTGTTGGAGATGGTAAAGGAAATATGACAGTTATTGGGGTTACTGATGATGATTATACTCCTACAGTGAAGTCAAGCTTTACCTGGTCTGCTGAAACGGAGAGACAGCTCTTGGGTACTCACTGGTGCAAATCTCTAGGGCATAGGTACTCACTTGCCAGTATTCTTCATTAACATTTCTGCAATTAAAAATCCAAAAATTGGGGACATCTCCTGATGTCTAAGTTGCATGCGGCCATGCGCCACACCTTATGTTATAGAATTAAGGGACTTCCCAAGTTATTGTGTTTGACTGATACGGAAGGCGATATGGTGGTAGCATACGCGTCTATCTAGAAAAGCTCTCAACATGGGCTATTTGGCTGATGAAAGCACAGATGCGTAAGTTAAAATATTATCATTCTCAGATATCTTAAAAAATTTTGTAGGTATGTCTTCACAGCTGATCCTAGAGGAACTTTGAAACTCTGGAGGTTGCCTGTCTGCTCACAATCTAATATTCTCAGCCCCTTGAGGAGTTACAATGTGTCTCATATAGCAACATTCATGTCAAGTTATGGAATACGGATTATGTGTTTGGATGCTTGCATGGAGGAAGAGGTATTGCTCGTGTCTGTTTTTCTCCATTATGGGGGGTGGCCAGGCAGAGCTTCTTGTTTGACGGCTTAGTTGATCTTCCTTTTTGAAATATTCAGTAATAGTTAATTGTAGTATGTAGACTAATAAGCCACTTGATAGAGTCTGACTTAATCTCATAATCAAACTAGCATTTAAACAATGCTTGTTTTCTGTAGAGAGTTTGACCAAGATATGACATTTTACAATAACTTTGTGGAAACAGAGATGAGATATCTTTCCTTTTAACATTTGAAAGATGTCATATGAAATTATGAATATAGCCAGCTTATAAGATTCCCGAAATGGATGCTCATACTTGAAAGTGTTTAAGTGAAGTTCTTAAGTTTGGAGTATGGATATCAACATTTCTGCAGGTCCTAGTGTGTGGAGATCTACGTGGTAATATGTTTCTGTTCCCTTTGGCGAAGAGCATGTTGGGGGATGTGTCTCTTGCACATGAAGTGAAGACATCTCCAATAAATCATTTCAAAGGAGTCCATGGAATTTCAAGTGTGTCCAGTGTTTCTGTGGCTCTGCTCGGTTCTAATCAAATTGAAATATG